GTTGTGTCCTGCTCAGCATCACTGGGCACCTTCTTAGCTGCATTATGGCAGTTTGACAGAGGTCTGCTGGTGGCTGGAATAAGCCCCATAGTTCTGGGCAGGGAGGTTGGACACATGGCTCAGGGGCTGTGTTTAGGCTGGAGAGGATCCCTGCTGCTTGGATGAGGACCTGGAGCAGGACTGGCTCTGTTCCACCTCTGCCAGCACAGCCTCTGCTCCCCAGGGACTGGGTCCCTCCTCTATGCAAGCGTTGCTGTCCCCAGGTGATGGAGCGGGTTCTTCCCCTCCTCCATCCTCATCCCCATCCCTGCTTCTCCTGACACAAGTGGATCCTGATGCTGCCGGAGGGCTCTTTTCAGTACCTTCAAATTAACACCGACTTCAAATCCAAATGCAAATGCATTTTTAATTTCCTTAATTGAAATTATTTCCTCGTTAGATCTGAATAAGGGGATTTGAAGAGTAGAAGTGATGGGATGTGCCTGGCTGCGTCGGAGGGGACCGCAGCACTGGGGAGCAGAGCGAGAGCCCAGGAGCTGTGGGACCATTCCCCACATGTGCAGGGAGCTGGAGGAAGCTGGAGCTCAGCATCCCTCACATCTCCAATAAGGAAAGCTCACCCAAGTGGCAGCTTAAAGTGATACCACAGCAAAAGGTTTTGCAAAGGTTAAAAGTGATGGATGGCTCCCACAGCCTTCGCTATGGCTCAAAGCATGGTCCAAAGGAGGCATTGGAGTCACTAAGGGATCTGATCCATTCTCACTTGCACTGTGACTCTGTGGGAGTGAGGGTCCGGGGTGCTGAGCTGTGGGAAGTGGGAAGCTTTTATTTCAATGAATAATAATTACCCATTCAAATGCTGCAGATCAATGAGAGATCAATTCAAGATCGATGAGATCTTGAATGAGGCGAACAGCCCCGCATGCCCACTGGGAGAATTCCTTATCCTGTGTGTTTGCACCTCTTGCAGCAGACTTGTTGGTTGCATAGGAAATGATTTCTACACATCACATCCACTTGTACCAACCCAGCCTAGAATAATCCAAAAGCAATGGCATAAATCAGTCATTAATTGTTACTGAAGTATTTATGCAGCAAAGGGGTGCCTTCATTTGAACTGGTGGCCTTTTTAAACTAGTCTTTACTGCATTTTCAAAGACATTTTCAGTGTCTAATGGGTCCTGCCAACAGGAGTGGCTAAAACTCTCAGCCCCTATTCCTGGATGAGGGCACTGAGCCTCTCACTGCAGCCCCCAGCCTGCCCACAGCACATCCAATAAGGAGCAGGGATCCCAATTAATCCTCATTTCCAGCAGCAGCCGAAGTGAGCTCCACAATGCCACTGGATGCAGATGAACTGTGCTTTGGTGGGAATTCAATTACACACTTTCTCCTTGCGGAACATAATGCATTTTGACAATACAGTCGTTTCAGTGCTAATGAGATGCATTTTAACTGCTGTGAGGACTGTATTTCTCCCTGCACTTAGTACACAGGATCCACGTTAATTACAGTTTCAGTGGAGAAAAACCCACAGAGTTACTACCTACATTTTACTCCTGGTAACAGCAGTTTCCTTGCATTGCCAGGATCATTATGGATTCACTTTTAAGGCACATTTTAGGCCAAACAACTTGATTGCCATAGCAGGGAGGAAGCGGTTCTGCTTTCCTTTGGCTGCTCAGTCCCTGTTGTAAAAGGATCATTTATAGCAGGGAGATGAATCAGATGTGTTGAAGTCAGAACATCCTCGCAATGAAAGCATTTATAGCAGTTGTTTTAAGAGGTTTTTGTAAGACGTATGGAACCGAAGGCCAACTTAGCAGAGCAGCTCATGGGCCTGCACAGGGATGAGCACATCCTTCACCCCTGGAGCACCGGCCCTTGGGGCCAGCATGGAAAATCACCGTGGTTTTATTCCAATGAAGAATCATGTTTGTTCTCTGGTGTCTTTCTGAGAGCTCTGAAGGCTCCAGCCCGGCAGAGTGGGGTTTCCCTGGTAGTTTGCAACCTGCTGCTTTAGAGCCCATTTCCCTGTCTCTACACAAGGGTTGGGTTGAGGGACCGAAACAGCATGGAAAAGCCGAGTGGCTGTAAGCTGCGCAGAGCACGTGTTGGGTGAGGAGTAAGGGGTGACGAGCACTGCAGAGGTGTTTAATAAAAGATTGACCAAATGGGTGCTGTGTAAAGACCTTCACTTACCTCATCTGCTAATAGCTGGAGATCATTTGTAGCCTTCTATTACACATCTCGGCAAGTGTCATGGCAAAAAGAAACAACTATTCTTGTTAATTATTCATGTATTTAAGTATTTATACATCTCCCTTCTTTAATGTTCCCTTACATCTCAGTTGCAGGGGAGAGCCTGAGCCCACTGTGAGTGCTGGGGATGGGCTGTGACCCAGTACTAAGGCAGGTGGCAAATAACAGCTCACTCATCAGCCCAGTGAGCAATCGGCCTCTTGTTTCTGTGCCTGGGGCAATGGCTGAACAAAGAGGTGTTTGCTGCTGAAGCTGTGAGCATTGGGAATGGTTAAAGATGTAAAACCATGCACAAAGTCTGGCTTGGCTTCCCGCGGGAGCGAGGAGCAGGAGGAGGGGGGATGCTGGGGTGCAAGGCTGGTGGGGTGGGCATGGACAGCAACGGGTCCTTTGAAAGTGGGTTTGAATGGAGTAATGGAGAGAGACAACCGGGTCTCTATGCCAAGTGGAGTTGGGGGAAAAGCAGCAAGAAGATCATTCTGCTTTTTCCTTGATTCCTTTGGGAACCAATGCTGCTCCGCTCCTCTCCTCCCCTCTCCTTCCTCCCCTCCACTTCTCTCCTTTCCTCCCCTTCTGATGCTGATGGTTACAGCAGACCCAGGGGCTCACAGCTCTGTTGTGCTCAGTGCAGGCTCCCTGTTTGCTGACACCCTACAGCAAGAGGCTGTTTAAGGGGAAACCACCTTTCCTGGAGCCCTCAGCACCTCTGCTGTGCTGGATGCTTGTGAAGGCAATCGGGCAAGTGCTGAACCCTTGAAAACGAGAATCCTTTGAAACCCCAGAGCCGTGCCCTGATGCCTGGCTGTGCTCTGCTCAAGTGCTGGTGAGCAGCACAAGCTCCTGCAGTGGGGCAGCCCCAAGTGCGTTCACACGGGAAAACAAGACGAGGATGTAAAAAGTAGCGGCTCACTGTCCTCTGGTTGCAAATGCACCCGAGTTGTGCTTTATGGTGTCTTCTGCAGTGGCAACAACCGGGTTGGACACAGGGGCTTGGAGCAAGCTGCTCCAGTGGAAGGGGTCCCTGCCTGTGGCAGGGGTTGGAGCTGGAGGAGCTTCAAGGTCCCTTCAGCACAAACCAGGCTGGGATTCTGTGATTCTGAGAGTCCCAAAGCACGAGCCTCTGGGAATCCCGGGGCTCCAGGAGCCAGGGGTTCCCGCACTGCAGAGCTGGGGATAAAGCTGGTGCTGGGCACGGCGGGGGAGCAGCACACTAGATGGAGCTCCAGGATAGCTGCCTGCCCGCACTGCCCAGCCGCGGGAGGTGGCTGGACACAGGGAGCTGTGACCACCTTGATCACCCCAGCAAACCCCCCAGGGTGCCTTGGGCGGATCTCATTTGCTGCCTGCTGCTGGTCTGGGAAGAAAGATGTAAAAATGTGGGAATAACTTTGCAGTTCGCTGGGAAACGCCTTTGGGCTTTCACGTAAGCAAGAATCAGCAGAGAGGGTGCTGAGGCGCTGGCACAGGGTGCCCAGGGAAGCTGTGGCTGCCCCATCCCTGGCAGTGTTCAAGGCCAGGTTGGACACAGGGGCTTGGAGCAAGCTGCTCCAGTGGAAGGGGCCCCTGCCCGTGGCAGGGGCTGGAGCTGGATGAGCTTTAAGGTCCCTTCCAACACAAACCAGGCTGGGATTCCATGATTCCATATGAATCCATTCTGGATGTACCTGTCTTCTGGGAAAGCACCACCATTCCCTCTTGGCCAGCCGGGGCTCAGCAAGGTCAGTGTTAGCTCACAGCGGGTGTCCATGAACTGCTCTTGTCTTCTCTCACCATCTCACCGAGACATTGCTGGGTGACCCAAAGACCATTATCTGGGTCAGAAATGCTACCTAAACCACCAGCTGCTCCTCCCCTCTTCCACCAACAACCATCTCTTTGGTCAGCCCCATGTCAGAGGCAGGAGCGTGTCATTGTCCTTGCCCTCAGCTCACCTGCTGCTGGCATCGCCTGCATCTTTGCAAAGAGGATGTCTCTATGCCTGGGCAAAGTGGGCATTGGGGCAGTCATGGCTGCTGCAGAGGCTTTGCAGATCATAGCTTGAAATGGAATGAAGCTCACTTCAGATGTAAAAATATGGAAATACTTCAGAGTAATGGGGGAAGAGCAGTAAAAAATGAAGCTGGAGGAACTGAGGGGAGAGATTTCACTGTTCCTTTCAATAAACCTTTCCAGCAGGTTCAGGTAGCTTAAATTCTCCTTAAATGTCTGGCTTGGTAGGCACCTGTGAAGGTTTAATGGGAGTTAATAGGAAGTGCTGGGCCTGGTGATTAAGGGCGAAGGAATAAAAATTACTCAAGTGAAGGGCTATGGTGAGGTTTTTCCAGCATTTCTGATGTTCTTGGGCACTCAGATCCTGGTTTCCAGGCAGGTGTGTGCACTGGAAGGGTTTGCTTGAAAATCCATTTATAAATGGTACAAAAACCTCTGAAAAGGCTCCACAAAATAGACTGTAGTTTATTTATTTATTTATATATCTACTTATTTATTTATTTATTTAATGTTCTGAGTAAATGCTGCTGAGAATCTCTAGGAATTTAAGCATTATACATTGACTGAAGGTGATGTTTGGGCATAAAGATGATCCAGGTATCTACTATCAGGATGGGATGTTTGTCTGTTTAAGGAGTGCCATGTGTTCTGCATGACCCTGAAGTATGAGAGCAGCGCTGGATAAACAGGCTTTTCTCTCCAACAGGTAAGCTTCCAGGAAGTTGAACTCAATGATCCTTATGGGCCCTTCCAGTTTGGGATATTCCATGATTCTTTAATGGGAAAATGACTCTGCCCATGAGGCTCTGTCTGGGTCTTGATGCTCTTGTGGCCAAGCTGTTGCATCGATGCACTAAGCTGAGCTGTGGAGCTGTGCTTGTGCAGCCTTCATGGATGCCTCAGCCCAGGCTCTGCTTGCAGGTAAGGCTCAAGGTCAGAAACTTCCAACTGTTGTATTTTGGCTGGAATGTTGCTTATTTTGTGGCCATTGTGGGCCACTGAAACCATGGAAATGTGCCAGTGGGTGAAACCTTCAGCGGGGACATGTCCTGGGCAAGGATGAAGGAGGATGGAGCTGCTCCTTAGGGTGTGAAGGGTGACCACTGTCTGGTGCCCATCTCCAAGCAGGACTGGGACCAACCCCACTGTGTGATCTTCCTTTGGTGCCAGCAGGGTTTTAGTCTGGACAAACAGCAACCCAGCTGTGATTAGAGCAAGCTGGGAGCAAGTTGCCTCAGATGTAACCAAGACATCCTTTGGGGTCACCAATTACACTGCAACTTCTAGTCCAGTGTCTGCATGGGGAAAATGGGTGCATGTGGCTAAACCATACTGAAGCATGGACTAGATGAGTTTCCCTGCTTATGGCATGTACCTTTAGTACCAGTACCACTCTGGCATACATGCTTTGACATAGTTTGGTTATTCACTCCTCTGCTCAGGGTCCTGGGAAAGCTTGTTCGGTTCATGTTATCACCTTTTTATTGCAGTGACCTTGATTCTGATGTCCCAACTACCTTTGATAGTTGTACACTTGCGAGAAGTCATGGAAACATCCTGTAGAGGTGACCTTATAACAGGTATGTGTTTGAATGTTTTACTGTAGTGATAGGACAAGGGGTAATGGGTTAAAACTTAAACAGGGGAAGTTTAGATTGGATATAAGGAGGAAATTCTTTCCTGTTAGGGTGGTGAGGCACTGGAATGGGTTGCCCAGGGAGGTTGTGAATGCTCCATCCCTGGCAGTGTTCAAGGCCAGGTTGGACGAGGCCTTGGGTGATATGGTTTAGTGTGAGGTGTCCCTGCCCATGGGAGGGGGGGTTGGAACTTGATGATCTTAAGGTCCTTTCCAACCCTAACCATCCTATGATTCTATGAATGGCCAGAGCACTGTTGGAGGAAAGCTGTATGCTGCTAATAGCACTATTGCAGTCTTGTGGAGGAGGGTGACTCTTGTGGAGGAGGGTGTTACCCAGTCTAAGAAAAGATGTCTGACCAGGTCCTAAATGGGTAACTGTTCAAAGGCTGTGGCTGGGTTGGGTGTTTGACTGAGGTCCTGCAGCTCAGATCCTGTCCTGCTGCAGGTGGAGATAAGGATGAAGAGCGGTTCCTTGGCTGTGGATACTTCTGCTTTTAGTGACACTGAGCTTTTGCAGGGAAGTGGATGTGAAGGTCTGCGAGGTCAAATCCAGCCCTGTGTCCTAAGTCATCCTAGTCTGCTCTGCACATTCCCATCTTCCTCCCTGCAAACATAGCCCTCTGTTGGGGTCTCTGTTGCGAAGAAACATCAGCCATCTGCTCAGCCTGCATGAGCTTTTATCTTTATTCTCATTTCCACGTCTTCTGCAATAACAATCTGAGTTGGGAAGAGGGAGAACCTTGCAAATGCCATATGCCCAGAGTTGTTCCATTGTAGTTTCCCAGAAGTGCTCAAATCTCATAAGCAACCTGGTTTAACGTGATTACCAGCCCAGCTTCATTCACTGAAGGGGAATGGATAGTTTGAATCTATTTCAGAGCAGCAGACGCGATTTTGATGCTTTTTGTGAGATTAATTCATCTGTGACAAGTTTTGTGGTTCACCAGCTCCAGAGGTCTGCCCATAGACATTTTTCCTTTTCTAGTACTTGAAAGCAGATGGCAATTTATTCTGTGGGCACGCTGGAATAACGGGTGTTTCTGTGCCTCTGAATAGGGACGGTGAATAGAAGCAGTCCATCTTTGTGTAACTTCAAATGTCTTGAAGGATCCAAATACACAGCCCTGCACTTGGGGCCTTGATGTAGATTTGTGACCCTCTTTAGAGGAGCTGAGCTCATAAAATAGTGACTGGAACTCAGGGGGCCATAAATATCATATTTTCATCTGTGGCAGCTATAACCTTGCTTGACTGCTGCTCATATTGTTTAGAGGGAATATGGACCCATTTGGCTTATTTGATCAATCCAAAAGTTGTAAGACAAGACGGAGGAAGTAGTTCTGATAATGGCATAAACTCCCCAGGATTTGGAAAGGCAGCTCTATAACTTCTTTTCTGTCAGAGGGTATTTTTAGGCCTCTCTTGTGGTTTATTTGTGGAGGGGTGGGTGCAGCTGCATCTTTGGAACAGAGCAGGGCTGGTGGGAAGGACATCTCTTTGCCTTCATTGGAAAGCGGCATGCCGTGTTCCAATGATTTTAACCGGGATGAGCTGGAAGCCCCTTTGAAGCATCAGGAAGCAATGACCTCCACAGACAGGAGAGTAACTGTGGTGCTTGGGAGGTCTCTAAGCTGGAGTGCGGATCTGGAGAACCTTGGCTGTGATGCCACTGACAAAGTGCCTCTGGGACACTTGTGAACTGCAGCACGAGGCTGGGCCTCCGAGCATGGCCATGTGGTAGGTGCCTGTCCAGTTCTGGGGTTGTCTTGTGAGTGAAGATCCCATTTCCCATGGTCTGGAGATAGTAGGCACAAGGTGGGTCCAAGATAGGTGCAGCTCTAACACTTCTTCCCCCCCCTCCAAGGTCAGCTCACTGTTTTGGGTTCTTGGGGACTCAAACCATACATACATGAATAACTCACTGTACAAAGTTTTCAACTGTCAGAAGAGCGATTTGTGAATAAATGTTTTCATTACTTGGCTGGCTCTATGGATGGATGAAAAATATCCATCAAATAAATTATTCATCCTTTTCCTCTCCTTGCCATCATCAGATAAATTCTTTGTGATTTATATTTGTTCATTATTCATCTGGCAATGAGAAACAGAGATGGTTCAAGAGCTAAATCTGCTTTATTGGAAGCAGCAGCTGAGCTCTGGTTGATCTCGGGGGCTGTACCAACACAAATCTCATCCCATGCAGCTCAAGTGCCCTCTGAGCAGTGGTGCTCATTGAAGCTCTGTGGGTGGTGAGAGTCCCCAAGTGATGTGCTGAGGGCAAAGCCACGTTCTCCTGCTCTGTCACCTGACCCCCAACTCCTTAGCTGTCTCCGATATGTTTGGGATGCCTTGGGATACAGAAGCCATGGGTTGGGAATGCCACCCTGGATGGCTGATGGGTTGTGTCCTTTGGCCAGGTCATGGCTACAGCAAATAATCATGTATGCTTTTAGAGGGTGCAATTCCTCTAAGACATCTGGTGTAGACACCAGGGATAGTGGAGAGGAGGCAGATTATCAGTCCCTGTAGCAGATGTGCAGTGTTTTACACAGGGCTCTGGGGCTGCAGTCCTGCCTCTCCCATGCTCCCACTCTGCAACTTATCCAGGCTACTTTTGCCCCTAACAGAGCCACCTCCTCTTCAACACACTCCAGCAACAGGGATATGGGAAGACTTTCCAGCAACGCAAGGAAGGGAAAAAGACTTCATTTGGCTCCTCTACAAAAGGAAGCGAAGAAAATCACTCCACAGAAGCTGACTGACGCAGGAGATGCCTGCTGCTCCTGCTCAGAAGTGATCTGATTTGTTCATTTTACAAGTGCTGTTCCACAGTCTGGTGACTGAACCAGATTCAAACTTCTGCTTTTTGGCTTTATTCTAGTTCTAAAAAGTGTGCGCATTGTTACTGGTGTCTTGAACTACTGAGAAAAGCATATTTTAATTGCTCTGCCATGACTCAGAAAATGACAAAATGTTCTTTAAACCCTTTTCCCTCTCGAAAAGTTCAGAAAATACAGAAAGTTTCACCTTTCCATAGTGAAGAGCTGATAAAGTCACCTGCATGCAAAAAGGGGAGGTAATAACAGAGCTTGCTTTGTAACCCCAACTTGAGCGTGCTGCAGCAGGCACCTGCTTGTAGTAACAGCCTGATCTATGGGAAGTGTTTGAGGCAGCCCTGGAACTCCAGTAAAGCTTTGATTTTCCACTCACAGCATCTCACATGACACTCCCAGCTGAGTGCTCAAACACAGACACCAGCATCAAGATTCAGCTGGAGAGGAGGAATGACAACCGAAGGAAGAACCCAGGAGTGGATACATTCCCTACAATAGAGGGAGGCTGCTGGCAATGGGCAGTGATTGATGTGGTGCTTCCCACCCCACCTTGAGTTGGTGCTGGTTTGCTCCCAGGCACTGCTGCTCAGCCAGACCCTGTGGAGGGGCAGGGAAGGGAAGCTGGGGGATAATCCCATGGCTCCCATGCTTGCTGGGTACCCCACAGTAACGCCCTGCATGGACTTTGTGGCTGTGATGGGTAGGGTCCTCTTAAGCACGCACTCAGCTGCTGTGATCTGTGCATACCCCAAAAGAAGCAAGTATGGCAGCAAGCAGGGGACCTTCATGCCTGAAGGACATATTGGAGTGTAATTTGTGGTGTGATTGATATATCTTTCTTTTGTATATAATTTTTCCCCTCTTGCCAGCTGTCTGGTCAGGGACACATCAATCTCTGCGCCCTTTCCAGCCCAGGAATGTGTTTTAGGAGGAATCATTTGTCTTGGCCACCTCTGTGGGATGCGTGGCTGTGGGATGGCAAGGGAACAGGGCTCTGCTCTGCAGAGTAGTGCTGGAGGGAGGTATCTTTTGCTTGGCTCCTGTTTGCCCTTGGCACCCAGGGTACCTGCTGCTCCCTGGGTGTGCAGGAGCCCTCACCCAGTCCAACAGCTCATCCATGAAGAGCTGGTGCTGTAGAGTCTGTGAGAGCCTTTGGCACAAAACTAAGCCTTATTCAGTCTCCTTTTTGAAGCCCAACAGGTCTTGGGAGCAGTAATGGGGGACAAAGGTGGGTTTTTCCCTCCCTGCAGGGATGGCAAGGAAACAACTGTAACACCAAGAACTTGGTTTTATGGGTAGGGCTGAGGGGTATTAGACAGGCTGATGGGTGGTCATGAGCTGCTCCTGGTTAGGGTGGGGGCTCTTGCTTTGAACCTGATCAGATGTGATCTGAGATTCCCGTCTGTTCAAACCCTTCGTTAACATCCTGCTGTGTGCACTTGACAAACATTAGAAGTGAACCAGAAGTGGCTCATGGCCCTGCTTGGCTGGGTCTCCGAAGCTTAGACACTTAGATAGGTTTTAAGGAATTCAGTGAGCAAAGTATTCCCAGGTTCCTGTAGACAGCACTGAATGTGGCAAGCTGAGACTTCATTTTCATGTCTCAATTGTCCCACTCATGCCCTTTCTCTCATCATATCCAGTTATTTTTAATGCTCCCATCTTCTACTTTCAATTGTGGATCTTGTTCCAGAGAGATGGGGATGAAAATATGTTTGCTTATTAAAAATAGAAATAACCTTCCCTGGCTGAGCCCATGGCACCATGGTCATTTGCATCAGTCCAACAGGAGGATCGGTTAACTGGGGAAATGAGAGCAGGGATGGCATCAAGCCTCCAAAGACCCCATTTGTGCTGATGTTGCTTTGCACCCATGTTTCCTGTGAGTGTGGTCTGTTCAACGTGTTCCACTTGAGGTCCTGGGGGACACTGAGCCTTCAATCACACCTCTGGGTGCTGTGTGTCAGGACCATAGGATGGCAGATGGTGTCTCAGGCTCAGAAAGAGGGCAAAGCTGCAAAAAAGAGCAGCTGTGACATGCACTGAGGTGGGAAGCAAGACCAAGGATGGATACTCCATAACAGCCAAGCACAGGGTAAGGGGATGTGCTGGGGTGAAAGCAGAAGGAAGCAGGCTGAGCGCGCTGGGGCAAGGACCTGCACCCTCAAGCCCTGCTCCTCCTCAAGGCTTCACTGGTGCTAGAGGATAAGTGCTGGCGTGGTTGTGGTGGTGCCAGCTCTGGAAGGACCCCTCAGAACGCATCTTTTCACTCCCTGCACAAGAGCATAACTCATCAGAGCCACAGTTATCCTGTTACATCAACTCACACCATCCTTCCTGTCTATAAAGGTCCACTTTTGCTGCTGACCCTATCCCATAAGGACAAATATGTTTTCAGGACCTGTTTAATTTGTATCTTTCATGGATGTTTCTGCAGTAAAAAAAACACCTTTTGGGTGCAGAATGAAGTGCTTGGGAGTCAGAAATGCTGTTGTTTTCTCTAATTGCTACCTTCTGTTGCTGCTGCTGCAGACTCCTCTGCCCCTCTATAATCACACAAAAAGCATCTCCCAAAAGCCTTGAGCAAACAGGAATTAAGTTGTGCTTTGACTTTCCTTATCTGCAGACAGAACCTGGTGCTGCCTCCTCCTTTCAGTCACTGTGAGTGGCAGAGAAAGGTCTGGTGGAAGCCCTGGAGCCATCTCTGCCACCAGAGGAGTAACCATTTTGAGTTTCTTTTCTAACACCTTCCTCTAGGTATTGATCAATGCTATGAAGCGTTTGTAGGAGCAAGATTTGGACAAAATTCTTATTTAACCCCCAGCAATGCTAACAGTAAATTACTTCTTGCTGAGGTTTTTACTGAGGTTGTATCCTGTCCATGCCCACTACCAGCTCGTTCCAAGCTGCAGACTTAGCTGGGAATCTTTGCCTTGGACTTGGCTTCTCATTGCCTTCAGTCTACAAATCCCTCTTTGTGCTGCATTCAGCTTGCCACCGTCAGCCGTCTGCATTGAGGCATCTCACTAGAGCAGTTGTGGGTGGTTTTCCTTCACTTTGGCCAAGGCAGTGAAGAGAGGTGGTCACCCCAGAGGGCAGATGGTCTCATTTGGAGGTGGGTGGCTCTTGAGGGCCATGGTCTCCACAGCCCCTGGAAGCTGATGGTGACTTCGTGAGATTGGACATAGAGGGGAGATGTGCGTCATCCAACTTTACCTGCCTCCAGTGCAAACAGCTCTGTGTGTGAGCTACACATGCTTCCCATGGAGCTGAGAGGGAAAACAATCACTCCGGAGAGCTATTCCTGTCTCTGGACTTAGAGCTCTGTAATGAGTGAGAATGCATGTCCTGGAGAAGTGGTGTTGGTTGGTTGGTGTTTTTTAACGTGAAACCCCCAGCAGGAGTCTGAGTTACTAACGTGGATGGAGACAGCTCTGTGATTAATGTCTGAATCTGGACCAATGTGCTTCTTCCCTAATTTTAACCCAGCTTCCACCCTCCAGCAGTAAGTGAGCTACGTCTACCAGGCTAAAGCAGACCCAAGTTCTCTGTTCATTCTACCCCTTACCCCAACATGATGTGAAACACTCCTGTAAAATGTTTGACTCTGTAAGACAACATACTGCACTGTTCTTCATTCACTTCCAATTTTATGCAACTTTCTTCTCTGGAATAGGCTCAATGATCTCAGGAAATAATTGGTGAGCTTGTTAGACTAATGGGATTTTTATTTCCAAGGCTATAGATCAAACAAGTATGCCTGAAAATTCATTATACATGCAGTGTGCACTAAGTAATTATTCCTGCCCATGAAAGTGCTGGAGGAGAGAATATGATAAGGTATAGCTTTAAAAAAAGATGCTTGTTTTGTCATTTATAAAGCCAAGTTCATATTAGATGCACTAGTTAACTGTTTGGTGAGTAGTAAGTCACTTGGGTAGCCAAGGTGCTGGGGGAAAGGCTGGCAAGGATGGTGCCTGTCTTGTTTGGCTTTATTCTTGGTCTAGATCTGAGCAAAGTGCCTCTCCCTGAGCTCACCTCCATCGTGTTAGCAGGGATAGCCCTGGGTGTTGCTGGAAACAGCAGAATCTTGTGTTGCCTCCACATGCTGAAAGGGGCTGATCTCTCACCTTGCTCTTCTCCAGGGATCTGATCTCCATCCGTCCTCCCTCTGCTCTCACACCTTAGTGTGCAGCCAGGAGGGGAGTGCTTTGCCCACGTGGACACATGGCAAAGGGGCCATCAGCAGTGGAGAACCTGTCCCATAATAGAATGATGAATATCAGTGACTGAGGGACATGGGCTTTGCAGGGGTCATGCTCAGCCTCCCCATCCCGAGCATTTTGTACCTGAATTGCAGTTCCTGGGGTTGTTCTGGCCATGGCTGCTGGGAGGGGGTTGAGCTGAGATCTTACCCATGAGCTGAGCTTGAGCAACTCCCTGTGTAGAAATAGATGGAGATGATTCTCTGATTCTTGCATTTGTTCCTAAATATATATATATTAAGGAATTTTACCTTCAGTGTATTTGCAGCTTTGTTTGCAAACTAAGCTGTCTTAAGGATGGTATTTTGTGTGTCTGTGTTGGGGTTGTCCACTTATTGCTACTTTTCTATCAAATATTTAGTATTTTCCATTTCTAGAGCTGCTCAGAAATTGTTCACTGGGAATTTTCATAGAAAAAACTTTAAAAATGTTACAAGTGGATGCTGTCTTTGTGGAGAAAACTGATTGACGTTCGGGATATGACGGGAGAAGGAAAAATGAAGATATACAAAGAAAAAGTCATAGAAAGGATCAAAAGCATGAGCTGTGACATCTCTCAAATGGAAATGCTTGATAAGCCTTGGAAAACCCTGAACAAATCTCCAACATAACTTAAAAATAGTTATTCTCATTCTGTAGGCACAGGGACTAATGTGAAGTGACAACATCGAAGAATGTCACTTCCAGTCTGCTTCATTCACCCTGTACTTGCCTGCTGGGTCACCCATCGTGTGTCTGGGAGGGATCACTGTGAGCAGAAAGGAGAAGGAATTTGGTTACCTCTCATTAGAGGCTGGTCTCAATGCCTTGGCTCTTCCTGGGTAAGCAGTTCCCGACCCGTATGTGCTGCACATACAAGTGGAGAGCAAAGACATGAACTTGGGTTTTCTAAGCCTGGGGTCTGAACCATTTTCCACATGTGCTATTAATTTAATAGGTGATTTAATCACTCTCTAGCCCCTGATAGGAAAAACACTGGTCTTGAGAGCTGTGGCCTGTGGCCACTTGAAGGAGTCCCTGCCCACCCTGAACACTCAGCTTGGATCTGGGATGGTTGCAGGCTGTTATTCTGGTGCTCCTGTTGGTGAAATGACCCTTGGCTGCACTGTCTGATGGGGCATCTCCTGGCTGAATCGTAGTGAAGGCAATGTCATTATGAACATCCTAACCAAGGATGTATCTTCTTGCTGATTAATCTAACATTCAGAATGGAGCAGTTCATCCATCATGTTAACCGCGGGTTTGCTGAGAGAGAGAAAGGGAGTGGGTTTGAGTAATGAGCTGCACATCGTGGTACACTGAGTAAGTGGATAACTAATAGGTAAGTGGCACAGTGTAAGCTGGAGTGTGCCCGCTGGGATGAGGGGAGTGGCTGCATCCATCCATCCATCCATCCATCCATGAAACACGCTCAGCATCTCATGACGGAAGTCTTGAGGCACACACTTCTGCTAAATGTTTCCATGGGATGGAAATGTTTCCTGGATGCTGGGCAGAGCATCCTGGGCAGGTTTTCAAAGACTACAGCAGCACCCTGTAGAAATCTACCCTGCAGAGCATAGTGTTTAAGGTGCACACAATTACTCTGCGTGCATATGAGAATCAAGTGATCAAGGATGCTCACAACCAGTAATG